CGGCACAGAGCGCGTCCACTACATAGAGAAGGTTTGCAGGCAGATCGTCCTCGACAACTTCTGAGGCCTGCGCAGGTTCCACAATGCGAGAGATGGAAAAACGGGCCGGTGCCGGGAGAGGTGGAAGGGGGAGGGGAATCACACTCCCTGCGCAGCTTCATCGAGCTGAGTCGCTAACCCAACACGTAATCTTCTGACATAAGCAACCCTGGTCTCGCTGGCTGCTCGTTGCATTTGGTTTCTACAGAGCATCCTGGACAAGCACGCCTGACGACATTGGCAACAAGGGCATATCTCGTCCGGGTTCGAAGGCACATGTATCCAGTTGGTTACATGTGCATGCAGCACGGCAAGGTCAAACCAACTCGAAACAAATTGCGTTTGCGTTTGCATTCGCACCGGATGTCTCAGGTTCATCTCTCAATGGAAAGAATGAAAGATTGCCTTCTGTGGGCTGACCTCCTGACACATTTCTGATAGAATTTCTTGGCAGGACTGTCTCAAACATCTCATTGACCTTTTTGGGGGGGAACTCACCACCATTCCGAAAGAATAACCCTGAATTCACTCTGACTTTCACCTTCTGAACTCTTTGTTTGGTGTCAAGTTTTGGTTTCTTGTCTGAATATAAACTCTTCATTCTAATACACATTTGCTCCCTCTCATTCTCATCTTTTCTTTGCCTTCAATCCTTTCAAAATCCCTGAAACATCTTCCATTTTTCCAACATTTCCTGATTTCCTTCCTATCGAGCTTTTGAGGGTGGACACGGTGGACCGTTAATGTGGAACAGTGAAATAAATAAATAGTATTAAAAGAATAGTAAAACCAAATATGATAATAAAATACCTTCAAATAACTCAAATATGAATAAATAGTGGAAACGGTGGAATCAAAAGTGGAACCAACGGAGCAATTTCGCCTCTTCGAGGCCAATGACGGGTTCCTCGCCCGCTGGCGTGACACGCTTCTTGCGTCCAGCATCAATGATGCTGATCCTCGGTTTTTCACGTGGTCAACAGTTTCAAGTGGATCGGAAATACAGGGGATCCTATTGAGATCCTAACCTCCTTGACTTTCTTCAAGAAAGAAAAGATTGGAGGAAGAGGCAAAATATGCGGAAAAAACTGCCAAAATGGTTCTGGAAGAGTGGGAGAAAGTGGAGTGGAAGAGCTAGCTTCAACGGCTAATAAGAAAGACTAAAGGCATGGTTGTCATTGCCATGTAGTGAACAATGTGGTATCATGTGGTGTCTGCACTGAGGCCAAGGGTATTTCAAGGATATTCCAAGGCTCCAGTACATGTTGGGATTTCGCAAGATCTCCTCGGACTGCATCTTCACCTCGCAAAAGATGCCAATGCCATGCATGGAACTGGGACAAGGATGGCAAAGAAATTTCATCAAATTGCAAGTGCTCTTGGCAAGCTGCACCTTTTGATCTTGGCAAGCACACATGCCTACAGCTGTCACAAATGCACCAGGCATAATCTGGTTCAGCAACAGTTTGGCCACTGCCTTATCGACACCAAAACCAGCAACCATCATCGCAGTGTGTCATCAAGCGCTGCGCTCCAGCAACAGTTTGGCCACTGCCCAATGGCCACGACCAGCAGCAAGCAGCAGCGCTGGGTGACCATTGTTGTCTCGAGCTGCCACATTTGCCCCATGGTCCAGCAACAGTTTGGCCACTGCCAAATGGCCACCAAAAGCAGCAACCATCAGCGCTGTGCTACCATTGCACGCTGCAGCTGCCACATCTGCCCCACGGTCCAGCAACAGTTTGGCCACTGCCAAATGGCCACCAAAAGCAGCAACCATCAGCGCACTTCGACCATTGCACGCTGCAGCTGCCACATCTGCCCCATGGTCCAGCAACAGTTTGGCCACTGCCAAATGGCCACCATCAGCAGCAAACATCAGCGGAGTGACACCATCGCTATCTGCAGCTGCCACATCTGCCCCATGGTCCAGCAACAGTTTGGCCACTGCCTCATGGCCAGCAGCAGCAGCATTAGCCAGCGCTGTGCTACCATTGTTGTCTGCAGCTGCCACATCTGCCCCATGGTCCAGCAACAGTTTGGCCACTGCCAAATGGCCACCACAAGCAGCATCCATCAGCGCAGTGCCACCATTGCTATCTGCAGCTGCCACATCTGCCCCATGGTCCAGCAACAGTTTGGCCACTGCCTCATGGCCACCAAAAGCAGCAACCATCAGCGCAGTTCGACCATTGCACGCTGCAGCTGCCACATCTGCCCCACGGTCCAGCAACAGTTTGGCCACTGCCAAATGGCCACCAAAAGCAGCAACCATCAGCGCTGTGTCACCTGTGCACGCTGCAGCTGCCACATCTGCCCCATGATCCAGCAACAGTTTGGCCACTGCCAAATGGCCACCAGCAGCAGCAACCATCAGCGCAGTGCCACCATTGTTCT